GGGGGGTGACTAGAATTGTAAATCGAACAAAATTGTCTGCGAACATAACTCGGCCTGACTAACAGGAGATACATGGACTACATGTTTTATTTATAAAATAGTTTAGAAATATTTTGGGTGACTTCACATCTTTCAATAATGATATATAAAATTTTAGATACTTCACATACGTTATATAATATTTTAGGTGTTTTTAATATTTTAAACATACATTTTTTATGTTATTTTATACAAGATAATTTTATATTGTTTACAACTGATATACGATAAATTATGTCACATATTAACTCCACAAATTAATTACAATTTTTAGTTAATATTGTTTACCTTCATATTTAATTTATAATTATTAGTTAATATTGTTTACTATCATCGTTAATTTATAATTATTATTTAATATTATTTACCCGTGCATCGCACGGGCTACACACTAGTATAATTTAAAAGAATTTCATTATAGAAAAAAATCAAAATAAAAAAAATGATAAAAAAAAAAAACTAATCATAGTTGCCAAAAATATACAAAAAAATTCTAAAACAGTTAATATATTTCAATTTTAATTTTTTATCATTAGTAAAACTACTTAATGTATTTGGTCATTATCTCTTAAATGGTAAATTATATTAATTTGAAGAATAATTTATTTTTTATAAATAACGAAATAAAGCTTAAGAAAAAATTATATTGGAAAATATTAATTCACCAACTTGATTTCGTCTGATTAATTGGAAGAAAAAATTCTACCTAACCGTTTATGATTTTCTATAAATTTTTTAGATAGTGAATATTTGTGAAAAAAAATAATATTATGGTTAGAACTTAAAATATGTTGTAATATTTATTTTGACCAAAATATTATCAACATGAATCACGAAAAGTCAATCTTGTAATTTATTATAATGGATATTAATTAAATTGTTGAAGATATTAATAAAGTTATTTAAGGAAACAATATTTTTTATCATATCTGATTTGATCTTATTTGAAAACATGTATATGGAAGCAAATAATGCATATATTTAAAAAGTTTCCAAACAAAATATGAATTAAATGGTCCCAAAAATTTTGACTACTATTTTTAGTAAATGGTTATTCTTATTATACACACTAGTGTTGATACTCGTGCGATGCATGAGGTACATTACAAAAAATATTTTTTATTTAAATATTATAAAATTATTTAAGACAATATGAAATTATATTCTCCACAATATTCTATTTAGAATAATATGACATTTATTTATTTACTATTATTGTTAATTCTATTTATATATATATTTATATTTTTTGACTATTTAATATATAAATTTTATTATTTATAAGTTTATAAAATACTATAAATGTATAAGATTATATGATATTTGCATACAAACTACTTGTATGTACTTATAAAATTGTCGTTTGTCATAGTCTTATAATTTTTTCAACATTTCATAATTTGCACATTGCGTGAAAATTGACCAACGTTTAACCTATAATAATTATCTTCCGCAATAATTAGTAAGGGCATTAAATGTTAAAAACTTTTATAGATAACTTTTAATTTTTAGTAACTTCCATCCTTATGCAACATACAAATTTTTAATGGTTAAACATTTTTTTTATGTTTTCATTTTTATTTGTATTTATTTCTTTAGTTTATTTGTTCAACCTATATAACGAGTTACATACTATCTATTCGAATATTTAGATATATTATATATTTCCATAATTACCAAGTGTTATAATTTAAATTATTATACATTGCTATTTTATTAACTTATATTCCATTTATAAAATAGTATATGAGAACAAAATATACATGTTTACAGTTTTTTAATGTATATAGATACTTATAAAATGAAATTTATAATTCTGAATTGCACCGACCATCAATTTTTTCTTTTATTAGTATATTATTTAATTTTCAATATTATTATCACTGCATATGATATATTCTACCTTTTAATAGTTAAATTGGCTAAATTCAAAAACTTTTATTAATATTTTAAATTATTTATTAAGTTAGTATGATTTAAACATAATTATTATGATTATTTATTAAATATTTTAAGTACTCCTGAATAGTAAATATAATTAATAAAATTAATACCTACAACCATAAATGATAATATATTTAATCAAATAAATTTTCATAATAATTTTTTGAATTGTGTCAATAAATTACTTTTAAATTAATATAAGATCTTATTTAAAATATATCTAATAAAGCTATGGTCAAAATTTCAATTTAAGTCAATTTTTAGTTAATGAGTAACGGTTATTGAGTGTATAAAAATTAATTACGTTTTTCATGCATAAAATTTTTAATAATTAAATTTTTATTTAAATGCCAAATATAGACTAAAAAAATTACCACCCAAAATCATGCCAATTATGGCAATAAGGATTGATTCATTATATAAATATATAAGTAGATAGATTTCAATTTTAATTATTTTATTATAAATTAAAATTCCACTAACAATTGACCATACTATTTTTTCAAAATTAATCATACGACATTAAAAAAACAAAAAATAAATAAATAAATAAAAACATGTTATATCCAAGCATTCCCAAATGAAAAAAGGTGGTATTTTTTTTGGGCTGTTTGTTTAAAGGGGACGGTCAAAGCTTGTTTTTATTTAAAAGACTCCTTCAAAATGTTTTTTGTTGAAATAACCCTTACATTAAATAAAAATAAAAAGAATAATAGAAATATCTAAACTACCCTTAGATAGTAAATGACTAAGGTACCCTTCTTCTATTTTGTTATCAACTTTGTAAATAATACAAAAAAAAGAATCATACGAATCGCTCTGCGGTCTTTTCTTGAAAAAAAATCTTACGAATCGCTCATCTCTTCTCTTGTCCTGAAAAGGTAAGAACAAAACCTGATCATGTTTCATAAAACTTTGGATTCTATATTGCAAAAAAAATGTGTGATGGTGGAAGAACAACAAAAAAAACATCACCTTTATTTTAGATAAAACATGTTGGTAGGGTTTGTTGTTACTTTAGAGATAAAGCATTTTGGTTCATATTTTATGATTGATAAACATGTTGGCATTGAGGTTTTTTTTTTCTTTTTTGGTAAATAACGAATGTACAGTCGTTATATTGTTTCATAACGCATGTACATTCGTTATATCAAGAAAATCTCATAATGAATGTATATTTGTTATCTAATTATTTCTTAGTCAATGTATATCCGGTTATTAGATGTTTATTTCATAAGGAATGTAATTTCGTTATGACATATCCCTATTTTTTTATCTTCCATGTTTATCTAATTTTTTCATCTTCGAACGTTGGTGTTATTTTCGGACAAAAGGAATGTAAACCGTCGTGGCGCGACATGTTGGTGTTATTTTCGGACAGAAAGCTGTCCAGGATGTCGCGGGCGCGACGTCACTCACAGGCGCGACATATGCGACTGTCGCTGGCGTGATAAGCATTGCGGTCGCGACACCAAATGTCGACCTACAGAAGGGTGCGACAGCCTGTCGCGGGCGTTTTTAATTTTTGTTTTGTTTTCTTTTGTAGTTGCGACGAAACTCATTTTGTCAAATAATGATACTTGTTTCCTTGGTCATATACAATACATGTTCTTTTTTTAAAATAACAATACATGTTCTTTTTTTTTTGTGGAAAATGGAAATATGATGTAAAATGTTTGTACATTCGATATTTTACATGAAAAATGACTAAAATTAGACCGATAACGAAATTAATATCTTCATAATGGCTTATATGACGAATGCACGGTCGTTTAATGTGGATTGTGGTCGAAAAACAACCATAACGATTGTACATTCGTTAATTCAATGTCAAAACGAATGAACAATCGTTATAGTTGTTTTCCGTAACAAAACGCGCTTTCTTTATGGTTTTTTCGATCGAATTACTTGATAACGCATGTATATTCATGTTATATGTCATTGGAACGATAGTTTGAAAGTGTTAGAGCGTCGAAACACTCACAACGAAACTCGTTTTTAAAATAACAATACATGTTCTTTTTTTTTTTTCAAAAAATGGAAATATGATGTAAAATGTTTGTACATTCGTTATTTTGCATGAAAAATGACTAAAATTAGACCGATAAAGAGTTTAATATATTTATAATGGTTTATATGACGAATGCACGGTCGTTTAATGTGGATTTTGGTCGAAAAACAACCATAACGATT